TGGATGAAATACCAAAGGAGGAGCATTAGCCATGATTCAAAGACTATTGTTTAATGTTTGCACCTCCCCCAGTTTGTGCAACAAGAAAAACATTTCACATTGACACCAAGCATTTAAGCTGTTTTATGCAACTTAAGGGTTTGCATCCATGTAATGAAGCAGCTTGAGCTCACATGGTTGATTTTGCACTAAATCTGTTGAGCAGTGCTCAAGCTGTGAGGATGCAGTTGCTGCCAGTCACATTTTAAGATGTGGCCTTAAAGTATGCTTTATACAGACAGACCCCCAGTCTACCTTCCAAGCTGAAGAGGTTCACGACCATCCTGGTACAGAAGCACTTGGAGATACTTTAATCCATCCCCAAACTCAAGCTATTGTAGTCTGCCACACAGTCAGGAAGATCTGGAGAAATGATGAGGCAGGTAGCACATTTGATCACTGTAGCTCAAAATGAGCAGGAGGTTAAGGGGGCAGAGAATGGGGAGCAGGTCTTCCTGGGCAAGTACCAGTCTTTCCACAGGGGATCCAGAGGATGCACACCAAGAGTGGGACAAGAAAAAAGGCTAAACTGATGAGGTTGCTGGTCATGAGAGGAATGTGGTTTAGCTGAAGGATAGTGTGAAAAAAATTAGAAAAAGCGACCAAGCATTTTTAATAAGCACATTCAGAAGGAAAGGAGCTGGTTTGGAGAAAGGAGCTGTGCTCACAGCCTTGGAGCAGGTTAAAATATCTCTCTCCCATGCAAAGGGCTACTGGGGGGGACAGGAAGCACAGACGGCCCCTAATGCTCATGCACAAAGTACAAGGACAGGCAGGTCCATGTGCACTCTGCAGGCACTGACAGATAAATCACAGCTGGTTTTGAGTCCCTGTAGCAGCATCTCCATGATGGAGCTTGCATATAGACAATTCACGCCTGAGAATCTCCCTGACCTGAGACTATTAGCTTAAACCCTCCTTTACCTTGTCCTGCCTCCATCTCAGACATATTGTCTTGCTCAAGGGGAGGGCAGGAGCTTGAGGAAAACCAGTCTGCTGACCTACTGTGGGTCATTTGGGGGTAGACAGGGGAGAGGATCCAGGTATGAGGAGGATGGATGCATTTAGATCTGGTGGGACCTGGGTCTCCTTCAGGGCCAGGGCTCTGTGTCAGGGAGGATTAACACAAATTTAGAGAAACCTAAAGAATACCTGTATGCATAGCAAGAGTTACACAGAGAGCTAGCTCTGCCCAAGACATCTGGGAACAAATTAATCACAGTTAATTGACTACTCCAACCTATTCTTAGTTTATATGATAGATATTAACGGTGCACTGAATACAAACGAAGATATTATAGAATTTAGTCAGTTGGTGCATAACCTGTGGATAGCTATCCTGCACACTGAACATGTAACGTTTCTAACATGATTAAATATTAGTACTGGAAAAGTGAAGGACAAAACATGAAACATTTTTCTTCATCCTTAATACCAATATCCTAATAAAAAAGCGAGCCAAATATCAGGTGAATTGCTCAAAAGAGAGACCATTAATGTGAGCTTAATTCTGGAAACTGGATTATAGGACATACACACTGCAGAGAGAAAGAAGAACCCTGAAAATCCTTTTGTTGCGTCTTCCGGACAAATAAAGTATTTTAAAGAATACTGGTGAATGTTCCCCAGTTCTCGTCAGTAACAGAGTTCTCAAAATCCCAAGTTCTTGGGCCACAAAGGTGATACATTACAGTGAGTGGGAGAAATCCATTTCTATGAGAATATCGGAGAATCTTTTTCCTAAAGCACCATCAGGGATATCAATTTTCAAAGCCTAAAGCAATTTCTTTCCCCACAGCTATTTAGAAGGAGCATATAAAAATGCAAAGGGATCTCAACAATGTTAGTCTATCGAGTGAAGTGTAAAACAACTCTCTACAGAATGATGAAAACTGCAGAAGAAATGATCTCTGATACCACTGGCCTCTCCTCACCCCCTTCCTCCCCCCAAGTTATTTCTGCAGGCAAAAGCAAGACAATGAGCTAAAAACCACAGCAGCCTAAAATTACCCGAACTACATGTAAAACATGATTTCTAATTTTTAAGTATAAGAAGCTTTTTAATGATCACATCAAACATGTATGACTCCTCCACTTTTAAATTAAAAATTTACCAATTTCTCCTCTTGAAGAAAGCAACTGCTGTCTTCTCAAACTATTTAAAACCCTGAACAGATGTAGAGCTTGCATCATTGCAACCACACACAGAAATACTTCCACTGTGTAAGAAGAAAAATACAGTCTTTGTAGCTTAATTCTAAGAAAAAAATTTAAAATCTACTGGTGTCATGCCAATTCATGGTCAGTGGTGCTGGATTCTTTCTAAAACCAGCCATCAGAAGCACCCAGCTCAACAGAATGAGGCACAAACGTTTCACTATTTAATTGACACTGGGTTAAGTGCAAAATTCAGTTGGATGCAGTTAAATGTGGTAGCAGAGCATAATAGATGTTGGCTCCATCTATTTTAAGGCCCAGGATACTTCCCATCTCAGAGGTCTGGAGATATGTGATGAGTACATCCCAAATCCATTCTAGGCAGAGACTCCAGTCTGCCTTATCCTCCTCCAAAACCTTCGTTTCCAAACAAAAGAAACTTTCCATGCAGACTCAGAGAGAAGGAGATCTTCAGAGAACCCCCTAGACAACTGGGCAGACTGCAAAGCACATTTCCCCTCGGTACACTATAGGTACTGAGTACCCAGTATCAGTGAGAGCTCTTACTATGTGGGATGTGTTGACACCAAATTTGGAAAAAAATACTTATCAGAAGGGTTCAGATACACATTTGGAGCTTGTTATCAAGTGCTTAAATTCTTCATTTAAAAAATTATGAAAGATAGACATTTAACTACACCTCAAAACAACTGCCAAGTAAATTGTGCAAAGTCCACCCTCCACCACCTAAAAGGGGTCACAACCTAATGAGAAAAATATTTCTTGATCTTTTAAATTGGAAGACCTGCTGCCTAAGCTATCCTTTGCCCAGTTGTTAGCAGATGATGCACATGTGTCTTGGTCAGTTTGTCATTGCCCTAAATGATGAACTCTTCTAAAATTAAAAGGATGGTCTCTCTCTCTCTGGTTTTAATTTCAGAAGACAGGAAAGTATCTAGCGGTAGGAGGTGTTACTGGGAAGTTATTGTTGTAATTGGCTGTCTACATCATTTTTGCATTCCCTTCCTTAAGGGAAAGTTTACTAGACTAAATAAAATTTCAGATATCTCTATTGTTTGGGCTATGAAATGGATACTGTCAGCTGATACATGGAATGGAATATAAGATATTAAAGTGCTTTTTGGGATCTTCCTAGATAAGCATTTTGGGTCAGTTAAAAAAAAAAAAAAAAGTGGGTGAGAATTTTGATAAGATGTAACAGTTAGGAAAACAGGTTCTTGGTATTTGTTATAAGTAAGGGGAAATGGAGAACAGAGAAAACAGATACCACATTTCTTTGCATATTACAAAGGTAAAGAAGAAGGAATCTGCCCAGATAAAAGTCAACCCTAAATGTGACCTCTTCTTGATAGCAGTTTAGTAACCAATGGAATTTCTTCCCTTTCCACTGCTTTTTACTTCTTCTTTCTAGTTTTCTACATTTGCATTTTATTTAGTTTGGGCAACAACTTAGATTGGTCAATGTCCCTTTATATTCAGACACATCTGGAAATGTCTACAATTGTTAAAGATGTAACTACTGCCACCAAAATCACACTGGGATATGTCATATTAATTTACATTTTCATCTCCGGTAATATCTCATTCCTTTCTTTGAGAAATCTTTCCTACAAAGGTGAAGTACTGTGGCTTTGTATCTCATTCTCCAAAATTCTGCAATAGTTTAACATTAAAGGCTACAGTAAATTGCCTGCAGTTTCCATCCCCCACTATCTCTTTGCTAAATTGTGCCCACATAATGGTTGGCTGCCTCCTTCCACTACAGCCGGGCAGTCCACCAGGAAGATAATTGATCTTTTCTACCTTCCCATGCAGAATCACCCACTGCAATGTCACTTCCAAGCATGAAACTGGTAGCTAGACAATGTTCTCCCATGAAATGTTCTCGCTCGCCAATAGCAAGCGAATGAGCTCCAGCGTGTGCGGAGCTGTTGTGGTATCTCAGCCCTGGATGTTTCAGCTGTGGATACGAAGTGACTTGATTAAGGGGTACAGCTGCACCCTGTATTCCTGTTTTCACAGCCTCTGTACAATATTGCCCTGTCCACTCTGCTCTGCATTAGCACAACAGGATAACGTATTTTAAAATGTATGTTTCTTTATCAAAAAACCAGACATCTCATACCTGTCAATACCTTAATTACAAAAAAACCACATGAAGTAAAGCGTAAGATCATGTCAAATGAGTCCTAAGGAGAGCACTTCTGCTAAAGTCCAATTAATCTCCACATGAAGGAACAAATGAACAACTTTGATAATGTCCATAAATAAACTAAACATTTCAGGAAATTTCTAGGGTCTTTTTGTGACACAATGCAGAGAGCCAAGCAAGTTTGCCCGTGTCAACATGAATCATGGTGATGGGCAGGGGACAGGCAGCAGAAACTGCTTGCTGTGACAGTGACGTAGAAAACACGTTGTGGTACTCAGGATCAGACCACAGCTCCGTGCAGGATGCCAGCCCCCCACCTCGGGGCCCTGCCGAGCCGGCAGCGCTGGTACAGACAGCACGGGGTGACCAACCGGCAGGAACTAGCAGAGCGCAGAGTGACACAAAAGACAAAACTATGGAAAAAGAAAGATATTAGAAGAGTCTCTGAGTTAAGTAGAGGGTTTGTGTTAAACTGTCAGCTTATAATTATATGAATAATTTCTTTTCAAACCACAACATGAACATTTTCCCTTTGTGTTCCTGCTGCAGTTCCTGCAGTATTGTTCCTCTAGTCACAATCAAGCGTTCCATTAAAGTTTGTACCCAAGCAAGAAATGGCAAACCATCTCACCTATGACAGCTACACATCCCAGTGGAGCAACAAGGGCAACAGGGGCAAATCCATAGGCTGTGAAATTGCCGACCTCTCCAAGCCCCAGGAGGGTAATCCCACACCACCAGAGCTTGCTCGTGTAGTAGGGCTTCGGCTCTGTTTGGCGAGCCAGTCGGAGATGAGCGCATTTCTAGAAAATTAATTATTAGGAACAGGCATGAAAAAGAAAGACTTTCTTTGCGTTCTTGTGTCTGACAAAAGTGGAATAATTAAGGGGGCTGTCAACTTCAAATTCCAGGTGCGTCAAGGTTTTCTTTTTAAACATGACTTTCAGCTTATTGTTGCAGAGACACTGCTTTGTGTTAACTCAGTGCTGCTTCAGATGCGTGCTTTCTTAGCCATGGTGGAAATGACTGAAAAATTAGACCTCTGAATAAACCTGAAAAATATTAAGTGAATACTAGCTAGTGCTTCCTAGCTATCACTGCACACCTCTGTTCTTCTCTCAAAGCAAAGTTCAGCAGTTGTGCTGTGAATCTGGAAACATTCAAAGGCAGGAGATGGGGCAGAATCAGAGCTGTGGTAACAAACTGGGAGAAGGGGACCAGACACCGTGGTGTTCGTGCTCCACGATACATATCCTCACCAGAAATACAATTTCAAAATTAAAAAGGCAGTACTTAATCACATCTGCTGTAGGGAGGACTCTAAATTAATTAGGTACAATTTAGGATTTGGCTACAATCTCCTGTTTGACCTTAGAAGAAGACGTCAGGTAAAGCATTATTTTCAGAAGGAAAATCAGCTATACATGTATCAACAGGTATAATATGTACTCAAGTAATACCTCATCAATACTTCTTACATGGAGAAGGTATCACTGACACATGTTGTAATTGTTTTCTCTCTGCTGTGCAGCGAGAACCTGTATATAACAAGATAATTTGACTTTGATTGCACTGGTCTTCTGAAACAAATTCCAGACTGTCTCCAACAGGAAGGTGTTATGATTGGGAAAAACACAATGTTTACTACATTAGCTATGCAGAATATCGTTTCCTTTTTCAAATTCCTCTACCAGCCTCTCTGAACATGGGTCAAAAAAGTTGGAAACCAAATGATACAGTTATTGCAGTATAAACAGTTAAAATACATTTTTTTTTCTCCGTCACTTGGTATTTGATTTTGGAAGTGTCCCTGCAGAGCCCCAGGGAAGTTTTAAACAATTTTCCTCATACTCCCATTCTACTCTGTAGGCTACACTACAGAGTATGGGCCAAACAGTAACATCTGTAAGACACCATAGTCTCAGTCGTTCCTCTTGTTGAGAGGATGCAGCACATTACTGCAGCTTCACGCTGTGGAACATGTTCAGGAGGTGAAATCCTAGGAAGAAGTTTAGCTGTCCAAGGAGAAAAGAAGCATAAGGAAGTCGAACTTCCCTGAGCAACAGACCAGCAATTCACAGTAACATCCAGGACTTTGCATGTTCCATTCTTATAAATGAACAAACAAAGCCCAATAAAAATCCAATTGAAATGAATATGAAGTAATATTTAAATCAAGAATCCAATTTTCTGCCGACAGTCGAATAGGACAAGTGCTTAACTGAATCCTGAGCTCTGGTTTCTTCCCAGATTCTTGTAGGAATAACTCTTGAGGGCACAGTGTGATTGAAAAGATACATGATGAACACAGGAGAGTGAGCTCCACGGCTTCCCTACAGCCTTTTTTCTCCAGATGTCTGCCTTCTTTGCATAGTAATGTGTGTGGATGGTATTTAGGTGGAGGCTGTTCATAATCCAGCTGAAATACATTGCAAATGATGGGCTGTTCTTTAGCTGACAACCAGCTAGAGGGAAGAGAGGGAGGCTAACTGACTGCATGGTGGGAACGGGAGCGAAAATGATAAAATTTGGCCTCTCCGTTTAATATGACTGTGAAAATAAATGTTGAGATCTAGGGAAAGTCATTATTCATATTTACAAGATATTGTTATCCTATTGTTAACCTATTTTAAAGGAAAAGTAAAGATTTCATTTGAAACTGTCTGTCAAATGGCAATGCAGAACTATTGGGTTTTCCTAAACAGCATTTAAAAAGCTGGAAGATAGTTCAAATCCAGTAAATGCTGTTAATGATTACAAGTCAATAGAAGTCTGCCTGCATGCCTCTGTACATCCTCTGGCAAAGCATCCACTTTGGCACTCAGTGCCCTCAGCAGAAAAAAGATATGAAGTCTGAACAACTTCATTATTATGGGCTAGACCAAATTTCCACTTCACCAACAAGAGTTTTTCCATTGAAACAGAGCCTGTCCTAGTACTGGCACCATCACCGGGTTGGAACTCATAAGGGAGAGGCAAAGTCATCTCAACCTGCCTGCCATCTCTGGCTAAACAGATTTATTTCTACGGGATTCTCCAACTAGAGGTACTTAAAATAGAAGGGAATCTTGAAGAACCTTCCAGCATTAATAAAATGGGTTGTTATGAATAGAATATTTCATATTCCACAGTTTTCTGTTTCATCCTTTACAGAAAAAAGCAAGAAGTAGCTTTATATGATACATACACAACTCATAAAATACAAGCTAGCAAAAATACTTTTTCTGGACAACTTACACAACAATCTCTTCTGCACTTTGAAAACTTCTGTTATAAGACTCAAAAATACCGTCAAGTCTACAAGATACAGATTATAAAGAATTATTTAACTTTCTACTGAGTATGTCTTCTAATTATTAATACAGAAAGGATTTCACAAATCTCATCCCACAACCCTTTGCCATAGTTGTAAGGTCAGCACCTCCCGTTGCTTTTGTGATTTAAAATAATATTTACTCAGATTATTTCATCATAATTGCAGAAGGAAAACTAAACTGGTCAAAGTTGTTTCAGGGCCCAATATTGCAAAAAACTTTACATCTCTGTGCATTTAATTACATCAATCGCTTCATTAAGCAGCACCTAAGACCTTGTGGTCAATTCCATTTTAGATTTGGACACTCTGAGACAGGTTCATGTGATGTTCAGTGGGACCACAAATGAGTCACAGCTGGTATTTCCTTACAGCCCATTACAAGGAGGAGGAGGAGTTACAAATTTTTATTCTGTTCCCATATGAGAATCACAGCACAGAATAGGTTGAGAGCTATCATACTGCCAACAACTACAGCAGGGCACTGTTAAACTACAGTTAAAGAGAGGGAATGCTTATTAAATGCAATGAAATTCATATTTTGAACTTCACCATAAAACCAAATTGTAACATAAGTTACTTGCTAAATATAAACAACTCTGAATAAAGAGAAATAATTTCATACCTGTATATTCAAAGAGACACTAATCAGAAAATTGGAAGCAGCAGCAAGTAAAACTCCCAAGAGCTGAGTCTGCAAGATCACAAAACAAAGAAATACAAAAATACCTCTTATTAGTTTAAGAACACAACCATATAATGGTGGTTTTCTGATAGCACATTGTAACCCAATCAAAACCAAATTATTGCACTTTTCAGTCACTGAGAGTTCATGCTGCACTGAGTAAACTGGTAAAAAGTATCTCTGTACAGTTGACTAGGGCTGAAGTAGTCAACAACTGCAAATGGAAAGGGTATCCCAGTGCAGGAGGTGGTTTTGCTGTCCTTCAGTAGAACACCTTCTTAAATCTCATGAAAGAAAGAAACTAGACAGGTCTCAGTTGAACACTACACACAGGTATTATCCTTTTCCAAAAAAAGGACCTGTTTTGTTACATAATCCAGAAGGAAAATCAATAGCAATCAAATTGTGCATCTTGGAACACAATTATCTTATGTGTTAACATATCTACTATTTGACAGGGCAGCCAGGAGCATAGGTGTCCTGAAAGTTTCTTTAATCTGTTGTGTTATTTCATCAAATTCTTCTCTCTTCAGCCTGTCTAACTTTCAGTAAGATCTGCAAACTTTCTATGAAGCTGAGAAATTAAAAATATTCAAGCAGGATTCATTATTTTGGAAAGCAGCTGTTTGAAGATGCCATTTCAGCAAGCTCAAATAACAGGTCATTGGTAGAGCACCCCATCTACTTTCAACATGTTGTAACACTTTGTACTTTGTCATAAGTGTATTCAAAACCCATTCAAGAACACTGGCATAGTGCTGTGGCGAGCCCCGTTAGCTTGTAGAGAAGACAAACATACTATCAGTGAATTTTTATAAACAAGGTCATGGTAACATAACCCAGCGTAACTATTGCTTGCAAGCTGTAAAGCAGCATCCAACTCAGCGCCCACAGCCTCAGCTTTCATGGCTCTTCTTCAAGAAGGTCCCTGGGCACCTATGAACAGGCAGTGCCTACCAGCCACAGAGGCTGTTGCCCCTCAGCGTTTGTAAAAAGCAATAATGGTCCAGCAAGCTCTTGGAGCGGCGGGATTATTGCTGTGCCTAGATAATTCCCAGACTAGGAAAGAACATCCCAAAAATTGTGAAGAAACAACCATCTTATTACAAATGGATGATAATACTCTTATTTAAGAGACACAGATGAATCCAACTGTCTCCAGCCCGTGCATTCTGCAGTGGCTTAGACTCAGAAGGAGAAGCAGACAACAGAATTGCTTTGGGTGAAATGCTTGACCAAATGTCAGCTGTCACCAAGAGGTGACTGATGGGTACAAGGGGATGCAGAGATGGGAATGCAGGAGTTGAGAGGGCTCCCTTTGCTCACACACCCTCTGTGTTAAGTATTACAGGACCAGTGCCGCAGCCTGGGTACAAGAAGCATTCAATGAGAAGCATTACTCAAGAGTTTTGCCTATACCGTCTGGTGCCTGGCCACTGGATGTCCTTCCCATCTTGCATCCCCTCTCTGCACTCCAGTATCCTCCAACGGATGCTCCAGCAGCGTGTCCTGGGCTCTCACACACAGAGCATTTTCCATGCTCTGGGAACATCCCTCGCTAGGAGAAGCAGGAAGTGTGTGACAAAACATCTCAGCACACCTCGGCACAGACCTGCTGAGATCAGGCACTGTTACAGGGACACGAACAGCCTTGCAGCCTCCTTCCACGCTGGGGAAATGCTCTCAAATGGCCCCCACCCAGGGTCCCGCAGGAGCAGAGGGGAACAGTTTTCCTTCCTGAGGCTTTGATGCTGTAGCATCAAATCCTGAGCATTGATCTTGCACAAAGTTTGACCGCTTCACAGGTGGATTATTGCACTCCCCTCATCATCCTGCACACACAGCAGCTTCAATAAAATTACAGTTAAATCAAAATTGTTTTCCTGCTCCCAAAGACTTGTTCTTTTTAAATGACAACATGCTCCCTTGTGAGGGGGTGGAGAAGTGGCCCTGTCAGTCTTGTCATGAAGCGTTTAAGAAAAAAAAGACAGCAGGGAATAGAAAACAGAAACTGCCACCTCATTTATCCCATCATTTTATTGCTTGCACATCACTAATTGTAATACACCCAAACTACTCCCAGCAGAGAACTCGGTCTCTCTGCATCTCTTTTCGTTTCAGTGGCCAGTCCTACCCTTATGGCCTCATCTCTGGATAACCCCTTGCAGCTCCTTACTCTCAGCTTTCAGCCAGGGGTCACAGACACTCTGCAGGACTCAGGAGGCAACCAGCATCCCAGGGAGCAAATACGGTTGGTCTCAAGCCTGCCCAAAGGTCGGTCTCGATCCAGCTCTGGAGGTAAAACTTGCATGCAGCTGGTGGGCAGAGGATGAGGCTATGTGTTCCATCTGTCATTTTTAAAAAAATGTGCAAAATCAGGTCCAGGTATGGGTACTGATGATGAACTGAGTACCTGCCTCCGGAGACTGTGAATCAAATGCCCCTTTGATGGCTCTACACACAGCATGGACAGGGAGTCCAGTAGGAAGTTTTCCAATGCCCTGCCTCACTGGTGTCCTCTCCAAAGAATAGAGACTGCTTTTGTACCACGGTCGTTGCTTTGTCAGGTACCTGTGAGCTTGGCTCAGATATCCTTGTGGGACACATAAGATTTCTAACATGATTACCACCCTGTGTCTGAACAGGAACCATCTCCCAAAAGTCAATCCTCTTCTTACAGATCCCAGAAATTGCCAGGAACAGAAAACAGGTCAAAAACTTGGATCTTCTCAGTCTTCATCATTTTCTGGGAAACACTGAGACATGTATGACCATTGTCTCAGTACTTCCCTGTGAAGTACCAAGATCAGCATTTCCCTCAGCTGAGGCTCGTCTGGGACATGGGTCTGATGGTGGGCCTGGCTCAGCAGGACCCACGGCTGGGCAGGGCAGGGCTGTGGGGAGTTGGAGACCGGCCCTGATATGGCATCGTTGGAGCAGAGGCTGACGGCCCCAGGGGCTGAAATGGGGTCCTGGGCAGCGGGCAGGGTGGGAGACCCCCCAGGGTGGGCAGGGACGGGCAGGGCTGTGGTTGCCTTCAGAGCCCTGACAAACACATGCAAAGCTGTTGAGGTGACACTCCCTTGTGCCTAACTTAAGCAACCTCCTGTGTCTGCACATAAGGAAAAACAGTGCGCGTGTATGATCAAGGCAAATTCGTAGTGGCAGTCTGGGCTCAAAACTTACCCTCATTGCTCAGGTCATTTTATTGTAATGACCACATGTTTCACCTGAGCATTGCTGTTGGCATATATATATACTGCGCTGCCTGCCCCAAACTGACATTTGTTAATGAGCTCTGGTTAATATGGTGATAGTACCATACTTCCAAACCCAGAGCTGGACAGACCTCTAAAGATTAAAAGCAGAGTACAATGCCCTAAGGAGGTCAAATATCACATGGATCTGTTCAGGGAGATGAGATGAAAGTACAGTAACGCCGTGCAGCTATAGCATGGCAAAACTGTCATGTACAGTTTCATACTCAAACATGCCAACATTAAAGAAAACAACAGGGAACAAAACTGCAGTGAAGAGGAAAGTTAGATTGCAAACTTCACAAATCAGAGTGCATCTTAAATCAGCAGGCAACTTCTAGTGCACAAGAGCTGTCACATACAGCAGTGCTCAAAAGCAGGAGAGAAAAACATAGGATACCATATCTCAGGCTAGTAAAACCATGCATGAATGAAAGATGACCTGCGACAGAAGATAGATCACCCTATCAAACCGAAATGCTTGCTGTATTGCCCTGAAGGCCACCACAATCCTTCTGTTCCCATCTTGTCATATAAAAAGGTTCATTATTTGTGCTGTGTCTGCCATTCAACATCCTTTAGAGGACAGAGGACTGGGGGAACAGACAGTTTTATAAGTATTGATATTATACATGATATTTTCTGAACACAGAGTTTCCAGTTGTGATATCCACTTGTGATATCATCGGCAGCACTGCAGGGCTTCCCACACCTAAGTCTTGAGACAAACCTCTGTGAGGGAATTCGGTTGCAGACACAGCTTCAGAGCCATGGTGTTACTTCAGTCAACTAAGGACTTCTACAGGAAAAAGCCTTAAATATTCAAAACTATTGGCATAAAATGCAAGTCTGTTCATCACCAAAACATGTCTGAGCATATAGGTCACTTTGTTGGACCCTAGATTTCAAACTGTTGGCATATTCTTCCAGTGCTTCCAATGCATGATGCTTGTTACAGAAACATCCTGCCCTTAAGTTTTCTGGAAAGTAAAAAAACTCCACAGAAATTTTATTTCCTTCACCTTAACATAGTTTGGAACAAGCCATGAAAGTCACTTGCCAGCTTTGTCCTTTCTAGACAGTCCCCGAGCCCACAGACCACGGACTGAGGCTGTGGATCTGCCGACATTTTCCTCAGCGGCAAAGCCGGCTTGAGGAACGCCTTCCTCTGGTGCCCCGTTCCCTCACTGCCTCATTGGTGTTAAAACTACTATTTGTGAGGCTGGCAAGGCACTGTTCCAGGATTGAAATAGCCCTCCCAAAATATACCCCATTAGCATTATGTTCTTTATAAGCCACCTGCCAACGTTTAACACTAAAGGCGGATCAAAATTCACAAGCCACAGCAAGGGTTTTAAAATCGTGACCCCGCGTGGTTTGCCAGTGGTGACAGTGGCCTGTACAGGGGGCTGGTGGGGGGAATGTGTCCAAGAAGTGGTAAATTCATCTTAAGCAAGGCACCCTCAGCACTCGCCTGTCATCCCCCATCCCAGTCGCGTGAGGCTCTTGCACAAGCCCAGGTGTGGGGAAGGGAGGTTTGAAAGATCGGTCAGTAGGCATCCATTTGCCAAGTGAAGTGGCAACATACTGCTATTCAAAATAAATGAGCGGCAGTATGGCATACTGCTGCGTATGGTCCTGCTTCAAGCACTCATGCAGGACCTGAAGCTTATTTACCCTAGCACTTTTTCACATCATTCTGGCAGTGTTTTAAAAGGGCATTTTACATGCAAGGTCTCTTTTTACTGTCAA